AAATAGCTTTAGGTGTCAGAGCTAGGACCTAAGCCAAGTATTCTGTCTCCAAGGGCCCTGGTGGTGCACTAGTTAAACGCTCAGCTGCTAATCGAGAGGTCGGTGGTTTGAACCCGCTAGCTGCTCTGTAGATTTTTTTTTTCCTTTGGTATTCTGCCTCCAGATTCTGCATTCTTAATCATACCCTAAAACCAAACCTGTTGCTGTTGAGTCGATTCTGGCTCATGGTGACCCCGTGCATTACAGAGTAGAACTGCTCCACAGGGTTTTCTTGGCTGTATTCTTTTACGGAAGCAGATCTCCAGGCCTTTCTTCTACAATGCCACTGGGTGGGTTTGAGTTGCCAACCTTTAGGTTAGTAGTTGAGAGCAAACCAATTGCACCACCCAGGGCCTTAACCATACTCTAAGGTGATGGTTAAGACCTAAATAACCTAAATGTACTGAATCAAGAGTTTTTGTCTACAGGGTCATCAAAATTGGCCTTTTTTTTTTTTTGTCTTGTACAGGCTCAAGAAAGTAGAAATCAAAATTTCAAAGGCCATCTGAGGCTTGCAAAGAGAAGGTCACAAAGTAGGGAAGACTCAGTTCAAGAATCAGGGAACTTCATCTGAATGGACAGTAGAACCTAAAGATTATAGGAACTAGAGCAGAGGAGATTAGCATGGAAGGCTAGTAGACACTTCAGATCCATAAAGACAACCTGCATTTTTTAGTAGTCAAAATGGAAACAAAAAACAAAACAAAACAAAACAAAAGTCGTATTATGAACATTTTAATTTCAAGCTGCTGGAGAAAAAGATCTTCAAACCATTAGTTATATCTTAATGTTACTTCTAAGTTTTCTAACAAACTTCCCGTAAGTCTTGAACCTTTATAATTTTCAATTCCAGTATATAGTCAAGTAGGTTTGAATATACATAATCAAGATGACACACTTTGAGATACATTATGGGAAATTTCTTATGAAGAAAGACAGTCTCGAAGTCTATATGTTTAAGTCAGTGTCTGTCAAAAAGAACATGATTATCTTAGATGATAAAAATGATGATGAATTCAGTAGCAGGAGGAATAATTGTAGCTAATGCTTTTTAAGGGGTCATCAACTCAGACACTGCTAAATGATCTAAAGTAATTAGCTTATGTATTCCTTGTAACAACCTGTATTATACTGTATATTATATTTATAGACCACAGAAATAAAAGACAAAAAAATGCACACTTTTCTCATGCAGCTATGACCATAATGCCATGGCAAAGAAACTAATAATAATCAAGAATATTAGACAACATAATTTAGATAGCCCTAAATTTCAGGCAACTAAGAACAACAAAATTCCATGCCTTCAAGAAGGGTTGATGTGCTACAAGAGACTAAATTCAGATTTCTGCTCTTGAAAGAGACTTTTGGAATCTGGTTTTGAGACCCAGGTTTTCTACCTTCGAGCCAAAATCACTACATATTTTGCAATTTGTAGGATATTATTTCTTCCATGTAAATGTTTTTAAAATATATAAATAAGTATTTTCTTCCTTACTTTGCCATCTTGGAAATAATTTCTTTAGCTACTTAGAAACACATATGTACAATTTATTTAATCATTTTATTGTCTCAGTAAATAAACATTGAGCATTTACTGTGTCCCTGGCACTATGCTAGGCACTGGCCATACGAAGATAGATGAAGTGTCTTTAGCCTTAAGGAGCTTTCAGTCAAGCTGGGGGAGACCTGTGTGCTAATCTCCAAGTGCAATGAAGCATTGAAAGTCTCTGAAAGAAGTGTTTGCATAGCATAGAAAAGAGTATAAATGGAAGGAGTTGTCAATTTTTCCTGGAGAGAGAGGGACATGTTCAAAGAGGTGTGCATGTATCATTTACCCAACAATAACTTGTGTTGTTTGGGACTTACAGTGGTAAATCACCTTCCCACCCAAAACAAACCAAACCCACTGCAATTGAGTCCATTCCAACTCATAGTAACCCTATAGGACAGAGTAGAACTGCCCCATAGGATTTCCAAGGCTTTAAATCTTCTCACAATTTTTTTTCTTTTTGTATTTTAGATAAGGGTTTATAGAGCAATTTAGTTTCTCATTAAACAATTAATATACATATTGTTCTGTGACATTGGTTGCCACCCCCGTGACGTGTCAACACTCTCGCCTTCTCGACCTGGATTCCCTGTTACCAGTTTTCCCGTGCCCTCCTGCTTTCTCGTCCTTGCCCCTTGGCTGGTGTGTCCATTTAGTCTCATTTTGTTTTATGGGCCTGTCTAATCTTGGGCTGAAGGGTGAACCTCAGGAACGACTTCAGTACTGAGTTAAAAGGGAGTCCATACTCTCGGGGGTTTCTCCAGTCTCTGTCAGACCCAAGGATGTAAATCTTTACTGAAGCAGACTGCCACACCTTTCTCCCATGGAGCGGCTGGTGGGTTAGAACTACCAACCTTTTGGTTAGCAGCCAAGTGCTTCAACCACTGTGCCGCCAAAACCAAATCAAACCCATTGCCATCGAGTCAATTCTGATTCATAGCGACCTTAGGAAGGGAATATTGAAAATCATAAAAGTAACTGTAATAAAAAAAATTAACACAAAAACAAATTTTAATGCAAAGAGCTGAGTTATTCATTGCCTAAGTTTCATGGAAAATGGTTCTAATAAACACCACAAAATTCCATTAAGAAAAAGACTAAGAACCAGAGAAAAAGGGTTGAATATGATCTGGCTGTTTCAAGAAAGAAAAGTTTGGGTGTAAGAACATAGAAGAGTCCGAACATGTTATGACTACAATATATATATATATTTTTAAACAAACCTAGTGCTGAACAGACTGTTACCTTTATGTAGAATAATGAGGCTTTCATTGCTCAAATCAGCTAAAGACTGGCAGAGACAAAGTCAATGAGCTTACAGCTCAGCAGAAGTGTACACTTGTACTTAAAATCGTTTGGCTTATTTTCTTTCTGCAATATGACAAAGGCACAATACCAGATCTGTAGTCCAAAAGAATAAGGTAACCTTTTTTTATAATGTCATCTATCTTTTTCTGGGGACTCTGTAATCACTAAACTTTAGAGTCACTTAAAATGGTATGGAAAAAAAGCTAGTTCAATAATGTAATGACTCCAGTGTTTCAGGCCTAATTGAAAACTAACGGTGATTAAAACGAAGAGGCTAAAAAGATAATTTAAAGTTTACTGAACTAAATCAAATTGTAGTAATATTTTTGCCATGTCATTTCTCTCAATTTAAAGACCACGTTATTGTTGATTTAAAAGGACATAGAAACATAAGCAATGGTGTTTCCAATATATTACGTGAAATAGGATACATTTCTGAAATGTTTCAAGTGAAAGAAAAATGATATTATCTTAGGAAAACAATAGTTATCAACTAAATTCCCTTACTTAATGGTGAAAGAAATACAATGAATGAGATTTATATGCAGGGATTTTACCATAATAAGTTCCTTTTGCTTGGAATGCCTTTATGTATCTTTCTATTTATTCATCAGCCCATCCATACTTTCATTCCCATCTGTTCCAGTTAAATGGATCACTGCATTGGGCTACAGTGCTTTTGCTTTCCTCTTTTATAACATTTACAATATTATCTACACAATTTAACAATATCTATAACACATACATATAAAATATATATAACATATTTATATATGTGTTTATATATAATGTATGTATATACTATAAATTCTATATTGTACATGATTATTCCATATTTACTAATCTTTAGGGTTAAACAGATAGGAGGTATTTTGTAAATACCTGACAAATACTTTCTAACATGTGACCTAAAAAAAAGGAAAATAAATTATTTAAAAATAATATCTTGAAACTTTAAAGACAGGCTGTAAAAGTATTTGTCATAAAGCTCACTTATGGTTATTATATTCCACATTAATACAAATACAGTTCAATACATACTTTGAGTAACTTAGAATATACTCCATCACATAATGGTGGGGAGGGAAGGTACAAAAAAAAACTTTAAAAAGTAGTTCCTGATCTCAATGAGTTTACAGTACCATTTGATGCATACAATAATTTCTCAAAAAATTAAAATACAAGGCTATGTAATAAATCCAGGAAAAGGCATAAAATTGTGTGGGGTTCAAAATGAGGAGAGGTCACGTGTTTGGGGAGAAATTAAGAAGGCTGTACTAGCTAACACCTTTGAGTGCTTTGAGTACTGTTCTAAGCATTTTACAAGTGTTAATTCATTTAATCTTCGCCCAATCTTATAATTTACATGCTAATAATTTTACAGATGAACAACCTGAGAGCTATGTCTTGAAGGATGTGTATAAGAATTTGACCAGAGAAGGAAATCCCAAGCAAAGGTAGAGAGTGTTTGTGCTCCAGAAGGAAAACTGGCTGGATACAGATGTAGGATCTACAGGTGAGCACTAAAAGATATAAATGGTCAAAGCTGGTTTGGGCCAGTGTGAAGGCTATACATACAGTCAATAATGTGGGAGACTTTGGGGACCATGGGTATATCATAGGACGGGAATGATATGATTAGGACTGGACCACAGAAAATTTAATCAAACAAGTGGATTAGAATTGATGGTATCGAGGGACCAGTTAGGACTTCCCTTGAAATGGTTCAGGTAAGAAGTAGTGAGTGCAGAGGCAATGGTGGCAAAAGTGGTAAAAAGGACAGGCGAATTCAACAGACAATGTGGAAGGAGACTGTATATGACATTACAACTGATAACGAATATGGGATGAAAGAAGGAAAGACTCAAAAATAACCAGGTGCTTTCAAATATGGCTGAAGAAGACGATTAAGTCAATTATTAAGTACCATTAAGTAAAACCTTATCAGATGAACAATCAGGCAGTTGTGTAAACTCACAAACACACACAAATATCGATCAGCATGCAATATTAGAAAGAACTTATAATAGAAAATCTTATATTTTAATTCATTTCATACCTATTAATAATATGAAACACAATGTATATAAAGTAATCTTACCCCTTTGCTGTATTCACTCTCTGAATCACTGCTAAGTTCTTCAGTATTTATATTTTCCAAATCAGATTCCCCAGGTGCAATTGGCACCGTCACTGTGAGGCTGGGGTTATGAATAAATGATTGATAGTCACTTTCTTCCATCAGGTATTTATCCACGCTGCTTCCAAAACCACTGGCCTTATCTTTTTCTTTGTGGAAATTGAGATCTTTGCTCATTTCAGCAAGTGTACGATTAGAAATATAGTTTTCCCTTTTACCATTTAGATTTTCTGTTTGTTTTATGTCCTTGGAAATCTTTGGCTTTTTGGAAAACATTTTTAGAATAAACTCACGTAAGATTTGTTTCACATAATTTATTCCCTTCTTAATCCTGGCCACTGCAATCTGGAGGTTGTTTGCATCTGTGTCTTCCTCAATTGCTGTAAGATTGTCTGAGCTAAATGAGCTCAATAATAAAGCCAGAAATAGGTTCAGGACCTATAGTGGGGTGGGGATGGGGAGTGGAGAAATAGGGAGACAGAAAATAAAAAAGAAAATAAGCACGTTTTTCTGAAATGCAGACCAAAATCTAAACCAGCAATGAAAAGCTGCACTTCACACGTAGATAAGAATGTATGACGGGGCAGAGGGGACTGTAAACTCCTTGCCACTGTCTTCATATAGTAGTAGCTCCTGTGAACTCTGGGGGGCAGAGGATCAGCAATACCCACGAAGGATTATCATGGTGTTATGGAGTGAATTGTGTCCCCCCAAAATATGTGTTGTAAATCCTAACCTCTATGCCTGTGGTTATAATCCCATTTGGGAATAGGCTGTCTTTGTTATGTTAATGAGGCAGGATCAGTGTAGGGTGTGTCGTGAGTCAATCTCTTTTGAGATATAAAGGAAATTAAACAAGTAAACTAAAGAAGGAGAGATGGGGGAATATTGATGCCAAGACACACAGAAATCTCTTAGGGACCAGGAAGCAGAATCTGAAGAGACAAGGACCTTCCTCCAGAGCTGACAGAGAGAGAAAGGCTTCCCCTAGAACCGGTGTGCTGAATTCAAACTTCTAGCCTCCTAACCTGTGAGAAAATAAATTTCTGTTTGTTAAAGCCACCCACTTGTGGTATTTCTGTTATAGCAGCAGTAGATAACTAAGACACATGGGGAGCACAGAGATTGGTCCCTCACGATTATCATTATGTCATTTCTAAGTTCATCTCTGTAGCAGGAGTCCTTTAGTCAAATTCCCTTTTATGGGCCTAAAAAGCCCTCCTGACATTTCCCTATAATTACTGTTCGTTACTTGTGAGAAATAAGCAGAACAAGAAAATTTCAACTATGTCTCCTGTGTTTAAGCCCTCAGACCAAAATCTGTATTCACTTTTCTCAGAAGATGAATATCACTTGCTGCAACAAATAGAACACGTAATGCTTGTATAGTTCCTGTAATAAAATGTTCTGAGAATTGTGCCAGCTTGCTACTTAACGTGGCTTTTAAAGCAAAGAAAAGGACCTGCCCACCGAACCTGATTGAAATGAGGAAATGGCATTTTGACTGGGTTGGTTCATTGCCAATCATTTGACCTTAGAAGAAGTTACAAAAGAGGCAAAACCAACTCCTATCCTTGTAGCAAAATCCTGGCTGTGAACAAAACCATTTGTGTTCTTCTTCCCTGAGGTAGGGATCCAGGTGAGCTCAGTAGTGTAAAAAACAAAAAGCAAAGCAGAAAAGAATTCTCACAGAGGGCTGAAAACTTGTAAATTGTATTTAAACATTGTTTTATGTAGGAAACAAAAAGCAACTGGATGACCCTTTGATGTAAGTCTCTCTGTGTCCAAAAATGTCTACCTCATATTAAAAGAATCAAAATTAGACCTAACTGAAGAGAAGGGACTAATCCTTCATTTTTGGCCACACCTAAAGCAATTTCTCAGAGATGTAACTAGAAGAGAGCAGGTCAAAACTGCCTGTGTCAGTAAGTATGGTTTAAGAGGCTTACTGGGGTGTCATAGAAAGCAATTTTGATTGATCACTAAGGAATTCTGAAACAGTTCATTTTCATTTTGGTCTTTATTGTCAATGAGAAAATATATCTCACTATGAAGTGTAAGTTTGTGTATTTGTATATATTTTAATAAGAATGTTGATAGGGCCCATTTTATTGCTTTGGTCTCCCTAAGCAATGCAAGTGTTAACAGACTTCCTTTTCAATAATATAAATCTGTTGTGTTACTTCTTCATTGAGAATATATACTATAATAACATTCATTCCTTCAAAAATCATAAGAAGACTCTTAATATTTTATTGTAATCTAATAGATGTCACAAATTAAAATGAGGTCCATTCTGTATCATCTATCCATTATCACATGAGGCAGGAAAAGAAATGTTAATAAAATCTATGATTCAAAGTCTCATTCTGATGAATATAGTCTTTACCAGTTTCCTGATAAAGACTTAAGCTGATTAAAATCTTCTATTTTCCAAAATCACTCTCTAAAATTTATGGTTATTAACTATCTCAATTAATTGGTAGTAAAATAACCTAAAGAATAAATGAGAGAGAGAATAAGAGGTCTGTCTAACATATAACTCTAACATACAGAGGACTATATCAGAAACATTTTTTTTTCAGATTCTAATCAAACATCATTGGTAGTTTCTTAATTATCTGAGAGTTGGTTATAAATTTTGTGAATTATATTTTTTTCTTTTCCACTATCACTGAAAAATAATTAATGAATGCCCACTATGAGTCAGTCATCACCAATTTTATATGGATTAAACATATAGCAGTATATTCCATCTATTTATAAGTATAAATCTAGTTACCTTTCACCAATGTTCATGCTCAAATATTGTATTATGCATTCTTTGAAGGCCCACTTCAAAAGTCTTCCTTGAGTAACAATCTAGACCTTCTCTCTCTCCCTTCCAGGTATCAAGGGCATTTTATTTTTTACCTCACTGCTAGCACTTACCACTTCTTCCTTGTCTGGTAATTTTTATTACTACTTTTTTTTGTTCTAATAGACCGTAAGTATCTTGAAGACAGGGATTATATCATAGGTGCATTTTTTGAGCACCTCACAAGCCTTAAATACATTTCCTTTCATGCAGAAAGTACTAAAAAATATTGAATGAATTATCTGCTGAGAACCCAGGGAATCTTCCTCACTTTACATATACCTGAGTGAGTAATAAACATTTATATTACCTGTGACCATTGGCTTTGGTGTGGTATGTTTCGACATCCTACACCTTATAAAGAGCCACATTTCAATATTTTTGTGTCAAAAATCCTCTAAGAAGAAATATACAAATAAATCTCACTACAAGAGCTTGTGAATACAAAACTTAAACTCCAAAGAAGAACTAAGTAGAGAATGTACATTTCATTCCATATTTGGAGGGATTTATAGTCCTATATACAAATAGGAAATATATATATTAATACAACTTGAGGATGATAAAGCATTACAGAATGGTAATTCACGATGTGTATATTTTTGTTCAATAAGGATTTAGAATTCGCATTACTTAATTCAGTTAGTTGTAGGTCTGGCGCAGTCCCATTTAGTATGTGATTTGATGAACTTTGGTTTCTATCCTAGGCTCTGAATGACTTTTTGACATGGAGACTGCAAGGACAAAAAATAGTCAGCAACTTCTTTTCAAGCCAATGGGAAGTGAAAGTACTTACCATATGGCTGTTACCATACCCCACCTCCTGGAATACCCGATGAGGGGTCTGATGCCAAGCACACGAGCCAAGCCAATGTGGGGACATTGAAAATTGAGGTGAGTAGCTAATGGAAGAGCATCTTATCCCAATTTTCTCCTGCTTGGAGGCTTGGAAGTTTTCACCAACAGATATAAGAAAGAAAGAAACTGAGAAGGAGTACAAGCCAAAGAACTACTAATGGAGAAGCAGGGAGATTGCTATGCAAAAGAGATACTATAGAATAGTGACTGGCAAAGTACAGATAATAAGTATTTTAGGGTTTGCAGGCCTACAGGGCCTCTGACAGAACTACTCTGCTATTGTAGTGTGAAAGTAGCCGTGGACAATACATAAATGAATAAGCATGTCCATGTGCCAATAAAACTTTATTTATTGACACTGAAATTTGAATTTCATATAATTTTCATGTGTAATGAAATATTATTCTTCTTTTGATATTTTCAACCATTTAACTATGTAAAAATCATTTTTAATTCACAGATTCATGCAAAAATAGGCAACGGTTTCTATTTGGCCTGTGGGCCATAGTCTGCCAATCTTTGCTATAGATGCTAATCTTATCTGTGACTCTAAGGCAGTAGGACCAGCGTTTTCATTTGCCTTCTTTCCTTATGACTTCATTTTGTTGTTACCTTAATCATATACTATTTACTAGTATCATATTTGAGTGGACTTTTAAGAAGCATGAAAACCACGGATTTAATTCATTTGACATCACTATCAAAATAAGAAAACTAAGTAGAAAGCTTTGCCTTAAAATGAATAGGGGGTTATTTTGAAAAATGTAAATATGGGTTATATGGGAAGATAAATTAAGACAATATTTTCTTTTCTGTTCTTCTTTGTATAAAATAATCGATATTCTGTTATAATTAATAGTTTCAGATGTAAGTAATCTTAAAATTATAGAAATAACAGATTATATCATCATATAACGATTTTCCATAAAGAAGTTTAAATGTTTGAACATCTGATTACATACCACTAGGTTTCCAATCACCATCACCATCATGTAAACAATGAGGCACATGGTTTGGCCAGCGACCTCCATACAGTCCCACATGGTCTCTATCCACTCCCCACACAGCACGCGGAACACAATTAGGAAGGAGTGGAAGAAGTCATTCATGTGCCAGCGTGGGAGCGTACAGTCACTGGAGATCTTGCAGACACATTCTTTGTAGCTCTTACCAAAGAGCTGCATGCCGACCACGGCAAAAATGAAGACGATGATGGCCAATACCAAGGTGAGGTTACCGAGAGCCCCCACTGAGTTACCAATGATCTTTATGAGCATGTTCAATGTTGGCCAGGATTTTGCCAACTTGAAAACTCGGAGCTAAAAGTAGACACAAAGCTTAACATTAATTACCATGAAGACATTCTCAATGTTTCCAATCTTGATAACTGTACCAAATTTAATGCAGACATTAAGTCCTACAATATTTCTATTACTACCTTTCTAAACTCAATTATTCTTATTTTTCATTTTCAACTATTTTCAATATTTCTGTTGCTTTGGCATGGTTCCCACAACATAATTACCAAACATATTTTTGAAAGGAAATGTGTAATTATAGTTCAGGATTGCTATAAAAGCCTTTAATTATGGTTTTCAATATTACCTCTTTTAGAACTGATCATTTATTCTTAATCCTTAATTCTATTTTATGATACTTTTATAAATATTTTTCATTCTGACATTGGGATAAAGCCCTACATGTTAGGGAAAAAAAAAAAAACTTAACCAGTCTTTAAAGTTTTTTTTTTTTTTTTAATTAAATGTAAAGACAACTGTTTTAGGCCAATAGTTTGATATTTAATCATCAAATCGATAAAGTTTGAACATATTATAATGGTTGAAATTCTATAAACTATAGGATTCTCACTGTGAAGTAAGCTCCTGAAGTGGAAAAAAAATATTTTCTTTACTTTCTTCTATTTTACTAGCATGTACTTCAAATTAGAATTGAACATGTCTTCAAGATCCTAAAATTAAAATACTCATGCTCTATTGAGCTCTTTAACTGTATTTATTAATAAACTTTATTTTACAAGATATCGAGCCCTAACCTTGCCTTTTAATTCATAACCCTAAAGGTTTTGAATAATAAGAATGAAAAGCAAATGAAAGAACCCTTTATATATAGAATATAATGGTAAGCTTGGTTTATATTTACCAATCTGAATGATCGCAGAACTGACAATCCTTCCACATCTGCTAGAAAAAGCTCCACTAAACTTAAAGTCACAATAAGGCTGTCAAAAATATTCCAGCCTACTTGGAAATATTCATATGGATCCATGGCAATTAGTTTGAGAACCATTTCAGCTGCAAAGATCCCAGTAAAGACCTAAGTGACAAACAGAATTTTTTCTGGTATTATTAGAAGGCATGGAATCAACATAATGGTAATAATGATTATTTGCTTAACATTTACTGTAGTTTGGACACTGTACTAGACACTTTACAAAAGTATATCACTACTTCATTTAGTCCTGCAAACTAGGTATCATTATTTCTATAGCTCTCATTCAAGCATTAAAGCATTAAAAAGCTCTAATTGTCCTGTCAGCTCTCATCATCTTTAGATAGTATTTTAGAAGAGCATATTAAAATTCCAGATAAATATAAACCTTCAACAATTAACACAGTCACTCTTTGCAAAAAATTTATATGGGTCAAGAAGTTATTCTGGAAGAAGAAGGAAACACAGACTGATAACCGAAATTTTGAGCCAGTCTTATTTTTTCAGGCCTGATTACTCTTAGAGTAATAAAGAACATGTTGACTCACTCTTTAACGATTTATCAGTGGAAGAGGAAAAAATGTTTAACTGACATAGTGGCAGCTAAAGTAAGACACTCAAAGCTTTGACACAAAAATGAATTGCAAAATATCATTAATTCATGACACTAGTATCAAAGGATTCACTTAAAAAGGCAACAGTGGGAAGACTTGTTTATGAATGATTCAGGTACTCTTTGACCCAAAGAAACTGACCAAAGAAAGTTCAAAGGGAAATGGTTAGTTCTATAATTGCATAATGAAGACTGTAGCAAAAAGCACTCATACTTGGAGCTATGATAAGAGATGAGAGACATGGTGAATCCTTTCTGAGTTCACAGTGATGCAGTGGACTCAGCTAGAGGATACTGGCCATCCGCCGACAATTAGAGGCCCAGAAGATCCTGCTTTTTTTCCAAAGAGGAATGGAGGGGAGGAAGAATGCTAACTTGCAGAGCACATGGGATACAAACATCCTGACTGAGAATATTCACAAGCAATTTTGGAGACAAGACACAGAAACAAACTCTTTAAAGATCAATTGTTTTGGGACCATGGTAAAAGTAAAATGATCTTATATAGACATTCACAAAGACACGCAGAGTTATTCATGATTTATGGAGTGTCATAAATTGGGACCTGTCGACCCTGAAACAGAACCTCTGCCTGCTTCACGCGTTTTATGAGAAATTAGCACTTTTGTTTGCTGTAAGGCCATTAAACTAGAGTGTAATCAGCACTCACATTAAAGAGATCATTCTGACATCAATTTTCCTAATCACATCTTACATCTTACTGAGGCCTACAAATCACCTGCCCCGTGTCTTCTGGGTCCAGTTGAACCTTTTTGGTTTTTCAGTATTCTTGTTTTTAAGGCTTGTTTCTGCTGATTCGCTGAAGGGGTGACAATGATGATCATGATAGTGGTGATGATGATGATGATAATAATAATAGCTTTTTGAGTACTATCTTAGTCATCTAGTGCTGCTATAACAGAAATACCACAGTGGATGGCTTTAACGAAGACAAATTTATTCTCTCACAGTGTAGGAGGCTAGAAGCCCAAATTCAGGGTGCCAGCTCCAGGGGAA